TCTCATCTCCTAGACATACGAAATTGCTGAAAATTTCTTTAAAACTTCTTTTTAGGGTGAAAAAACAGTGCAAGTAATTTCAGCCAAGATACTCTAATAGTTTTGTTGTAAAAAAATATTTTCTCGGGAGAATATTTTTTGTTTATAAAAAGCTGTATCTCATCTCCTAGACATACGATATTGCTGAAATTTTTTTCAAAACTTCTTTTTAGGGTGAAAAAACAGTGGAAGTAATTTCAGCCAAGATACTCCAAAAGTTTAGATTCAAAAAAATTTTTTTCTCAGGAGAATATTTTTTTTTGTTTAAAACGCTGTATCTCATCTCCTAGACATACGAAATTGCTGAAATTTTCTTTAAAACTTCTTTTTAGGGTGAAAAAACAGTGCAAGTAATTTCAGCCAAGATACTCTAATAGTTTTGTTGTAAAAAAATATTTTCTCGGGAGAATATTTTTTGTTTATAAAAAGCTGTATCTCATCTCCTAGACATACGATATTGCTGAAATTTTCTTCAAAACTTCTTTTTAGGGTGAAGAAATAGTGGAAGTTATCTCAGCCAAGATACTCCAAAAGTTTAGATTCAAAAAAATTTTTTTCTCAGGAGAATATTTTTTTTTTGTTTAAAACGCTGTATCTCATTTCCTAGACATACGAAATTGCTGAAATTTTCTTCAAAACTTCTTTTTAGGGTGAAAAAACAGTGCAAGTAATTTCAGCCAAGATACTCTAATAGTTTTGTTGTAAAAAAATATTTTCTCGGGAGAATATTTTTTGTTTATAAAAAGCTGTATCTCATCTCCTAGACATACGATATTGCTGAGATTTTCCTCAAAACTTCTTTTTAGGGTGAAGAAATAGTGGAAGTAAATTCAGCCAAGATACTCTAATAGTTTAGTTGTAAAAAAATATTTTCTCTGGAGAATATTTTTTTGTTTAAAAAGCTGTATCTCATCTCCTAGACATACGATATTGCTGAAATTTTCTTCAAAACTTCTTTTTAGGGTGAAGAAATAGTGGAAGTAAATTCAGCCAAGATACTCTAAAAGTTTAGTTTTAAAAAAATATTTTCTCGGGAGAATAATTTTTTTTTGTTTAAAAAGCTGTATCTCATCTCCTAGACATACGATATTGCTGAAATTTTCTTCAAAACTTCTTTTTAGGGTGAAGAAACAGTGGAAGTAATTTCAGCCAAGATACTGTAATAGTTTAGTAGTAAAAAAATTTTTTCTCGGGAGAATATTTTTTGTTTATAAAAAGCTGTATCTCATCTCCTAGACATACGATATTGCTGAGATTTTCCTCAAAACTTCTTTTTAGGGTGAAGAAATAGTGGAAGTAAATTCAGCCAAGATACTCTAATAGTTTAGTTGTAAAAAAATATTTTCTCTGGAGAATATTTTTTTGTTTAAAAAGCTGTATCTCATCTCCTAGACATACGATATTGCTGAAATTTTCTTCAAAACTTCTTTTTAGGGTGAAGAAATAGTGGAAGTAAATTCAGCCAAGATACTCTAATAGTTTTGTTGTAAAAAAATATTTTCTCGGGAGAATATTTTTTGTTTATAAAAAGCTGTATCTCATCTCCTAGACATACGATATTGCTGAAATTTTTTTCAAAACTTCTTTTTAGGGTGAAGAAACAGTGGAAGTAATTTCAGCCAAGATACTCCAAAAGTTTAGATTCAAAAAAATTTTTTTCTCAGGAGAATATTTTTTTTTGTTTAAAACGCTGTATCTCATCTCCTAGACATACGAAATTGCTGAAATTTTCTTTAAAACTTCTTTTTAGGGTGAAAAAACAGTGCAAGTAATTTCAGCCAAGATACTCTAATAGTTTTGTTGTAAAAAAATATTTTCTCGGGAGAATATTTTTTGTTTATAAAAAGCTGTATCTCATCTCCTAGACATGCGATATTGCTGAAATTTTCTTCAAAACTTCTTTTTAGGGTGAAGAAATAGTGGAAGTTATTTCAGCCAAGATACTCCAAAAGTTTAGATTCAAAAAAATTTTTTTCTCAGGAGAATATTTTTTTTTTGTTTAAAACGCTGTATCTCATTTCCTAGACATACGAAATTGCTGAAATTTTCTTCAAAACTTCTTTTTAGGGTGAAAAAACAGTGCAAGTAATTTCAGCCAAGATACTCTAATAGTTTTGTTGTAAAAAAATATTTTCTCGGGAGAATATTTTTTGTTTATAAAAAGCTGTATCTCATCTCCTAGACATACGATATTGCTGAGATTTTCCTCAAAACTTCTTTTTAGGGTGAAGAAATAGTGGAAGTAAATTCAGCCAAGATACTCTAATAGTTTAGTTGTAAAAAAATATTTTCTCTGGAGAATATTTTTTTGTTTAAAAAGCTGTATCTCATCTCCTAGACATACGATATTGCTGAAATTTTCTTCAAAACTTCTTTTTAGGGTGAAGAAATAGTGGAAGTAAATTCAGCCAAGATACTCTAAAAGTTTAGTTTTAAAAAAATATTTTCTCGGGAGAATAATTTTTTTTTGTTTAAAAAGCTGTATCTCATCTCCTAGACATACGATATTGCTGAAATTTTCTTCAAAACTTCTTTTTAGGGTGAAGAAACAGTGGAAGTAATTTCAGCCAAGATACTGTAATAGTTTAGTAGTAAAAAAATTTTTTCTCGGGAGAATATTTTTTGTTTATAAAAAGCTGTATCTCATCTCCTAGACATACGATATTGCTGAGATTTTCCTCAAAACTTCTTTTTAGGGTGAAGAAATAGTGGAAGTAAATTCAGCCAAGATACTCTAATAGTTTAGTTGTAAAAAAATATTTTCTCTGGAGAATATTTTTTTGTTTAAAAAGCTGTATCTCATCTCCTAGACATACGATATTGCTGAAATTTTTTTCAAAACTTCTTTTTAGGGTGAAGAAACAGTGGAAGTAATTTCAGCCAAGATACTCCAAAAGTTTAGATTCAAAAAAATTTTTTTCTCAGGAGAATATTTTTTTTTGTTTAAAACGCTGTATCTCATCTCCTAGACATACGAAATTGCTGAAATTTTCTTTAAAACTTCTTTTTAGGGTGAAAAAACAGTGCAAGTAATTTCAGCCAAGATACTCTAATAGTTTTGTTGTAAAAAAATATTTTCTCGGGAGAATATTTTTTGTTTATAAAAAGCTGTATCTCATCTCCTAGACATACGATATTGCTGAAATTTTCTTCAAAACTTCTTTTTAGGGTGAAGAAACAGTGGAAGTAATTTCAGCCAAGATACTCCAAAAGTTTAGATTAAAAAAAAATTTTTTCTCAGGAGAATATTTTTTTTTTGTTTAAAACGCTGTATCTCATCTCCTAGACATACGAAATTGCTGAAAATTTCTTTAAAACTTCTTTTTAGGGTGAAAAAACAGTGCAAGTAATTTCAGCCAAGATACTCTAATAGTTTAGTTGTAAAAAAATATTTTCTCGGGAGAATATTTTTTGTTTATAAAAAGCTGTATCTCATCTCCTAGACATACGATATTGCTGAAATTTTTTTCAAAACTTCTTTTTAGGGTGAAGAAACAGTGGAAGTAATTTCAGCCAAGATACTCCAAAAGTTTAGATTCAAAAAAATTTTTTTCTCAGGAGAATATTTTTTTTTGTTTAAAACGCTGTATCTCATCTCCTAGACATACGAAATTGCTGAAATTTTCTTTAAAACTTCTTTTTAGGGTGAAAAAACAGTGCAAGTAATTTCAGCCAAGATACTCTAATAGTTTTGTTGTAAAAAAATATTTTCTCGGGAGAATATTTTTTGTTTATAAAAAGCTGTATCTCATCTCCTAGACATACGATATTGCTGAAATTTTCTTCAAAACTTCTTTTTAGGGTGAAGAAATAGTGGAAGTTATTTCAGCCAAGATACTCCAAAAGTTTAGATTCAAAAAATTTTTTTTCTCAGGAGAATTTTTTTTTTTTGTTTAAACCGCTGTATCTCATCTCCTAGACATACGAAATTGCTGAAATTTTCTTCAAAACTTCTTTTTAGGGTGAAAAAACAGTGCAAGTAATTTCAGCCAAGATACTCTAATAGTTTTGTTGTAAAAAAATATTTTCTCGGGAGAATATTTTTTGTTTATAAAAAGCTGTATCTCATCTCCTAGACATACGATATTGCTGAGATTTTCCTCAAAACTTCTTTTTAGGGTGAAGAAATAGTGGAAGTAAATTCAGCCAAGATACTCTAATAGTTTAATTGAAAAAAAAAAATTTTGTCTCAAGAGAATGTCGGCTGCTAGTTTCAGTTTCAACAATTTATTAAAATTATATTTTTAGGAGAGGAGATAAAGGTACCTAAACTTGTCACGTTAATTTTTAATATTATTTGTAATTTTGCAACGAAAAATTCTAATTTTTAAAAAATATAGGGCCCGGACCCTATCTTCTATGTTTCGTCCATGTCGGCTGCTAGCTGGTGGCTGCTAGTTTCAGTTTGATGCATTACTTTAGTACTCATTTATAAAACATATATTTTTTTACTCTCAAATATCAAAAAATAAAAATTCCTAGGAATAATGTTACATACCAAAAGATTGATAAAAGTATTTACCTCAACAAAATGAGATATCAATAAGATCAAAAACTAATAAATCCATAAGACTAGATAGATAATAAAGTAGTGAGATATTTGCCCATATTAACAACTATTTTGGAGAATTTGTAAGGCAAAACTGATAACTACCAGTATTAAACACTGATAAGATAAGATTTAAAAGTAGCCACAGAAACAATGTGTATCAAAACAGAGGCCATGAATTGTATTAAATATAATTGGTAATTAGCTTAATAGTGTAGGTATTAAAAATGAGAACACGTTTTGGAAAATAAAAGTAAATTTGAAACGAAACTGTCAATTTTAGAAAGGCAAGGCATTCAACGCGATGTTCAATCCAACATAGATCACTTTTAGGGTCAACCAGTGTCCGTAACATGTCACAGAGGCACTACATTTATTTGAAAATGTTTCAATTTAATATTTATTCACTTACCGCTACAGTATTTTACTAAAATTCAAAAGTATGTTTCATTCTTGTATTGATACACTTGCCACACATGATAAACAGATCAACTAAAAGTAAAGAACTTGAAAGTACAATAAAGCGTTTATTACATATTACTGCAGTCTCTCATTCAAATGTTAACAGTTACTCTACATTTTCCGTTAATTTTAATGAAAAATTAATATAATTACAAACAAGAAGAAAATCACAAGACAACGATTGAGTGAGCGAACGACACACAGCGTAGATGGGTTGCCGCGTTACTAAACAAATAGATGAATGAAACGTCAGTCAGAAAAGACGAAGTTGTCTATGCTATTTTAAATGAAAATAGGGAGTTTGGAGTGCGATTTTATTGAATAAAGTAAGCGTAGGTAGGTGTCGTATTTTAAAGTAAAACAAAAAGACCTAAAATGTATTACCATACCTACTTTAAATTGTTAGTTATATATTTAATGTCGTAATGGTGTTGATTCTGGCATGATTCTCTAAACTGAAAACTAAATTTAAGATCAGTCTGTTCTTTTCATTCTGTATAGAGAATGACAAGGATACACTGTTGTGAAAATATTTAGGTTTAGACAATCAAGCCAGAAACGACACCAATGTTGTGTTCCGAACAAAAGTTATCTTAGCATGATGGTAAAAAATATGACATTAAATCATTTTTTTAAAAAAATATATATTTTATGGCTCTAACTGAATATACTATATTTAATACAACTTAAACACCTGATTATGGCGTCTTGTCAGACCATCATGTAGGTTATTAATGAGGGCTTCGTTTTTTGTCTCGCCAGATGACGCCACTGTGAGTGAGGTCCTAAAATGGTAGCTTTTAAAGTTTCTTAATACGCGCGTGAAATCAAAGTTTACATTTAAATCATATGTTTATTTTGGTCTTAAATTAAAACTTAAATATTGTTATGAACTTTTTATATCTTGCTAAAGAGTTTAAGTATTCCATAAAATTAAGGACACTTTATTAACGGGCAACACTTTTTAATGTTGTTATAATATTTTTCAATGTTAAGGCAAATGATAATAAATACATACATTCTAGTTGGTTAATTATAATAATACTCTGAGGTCAGTGCTAGCACGCTTCCATTTCCATCTCATTTCCATTAATAGAGTACAGACAGAGCTAGAGAGAGATATATAATTTTATTAAGAGGCACAAAATGGAGGCCTGTTATATTCTTGGTGGTCTCTACTGCTGATGCTCCGCAGTAGGAGTAGACGGCTGAAATATAACCATGCATAACGGCAATAATTATTTATTACTTGTTTTTACTCAAAGTTCGTTTTTGGCAGGTACCCGTGTTTTATTTTTTTTATATTTTACTCGTGAGATATATGTAGATAGGCCAAGGCAACGACCTTTTTCAAACTAATTTGTAACATTGTGGCACAATCGTGTTTTTCATTATTCGCTTCGATTAATTAATTGCCAGTGTCACCTTATAGAATTTTAGTAGCATAACGCACGAGTCTTTTAACGCGGCGAATGATAGTCGCGCGGATGGTAATTTGTATAGGCATGAGTACAGGTACGACAACGCACTGGCAGCCGCGTAACAGCGCGGGTGAGCCATACAAAATTAACATGCGCGCAACTGCCATCCGCCGCGCTTCGAGACTTGTGCGTTGTGGAACTTAACGATACCTACTTTAGACTAGCCCCCTTTGTTTCTTTGAATTTTGTCTCTGTTCATTGAATTACAAATGAGTGAATAAGAGTGATTGTGGAAGGATGGCACGTGTCAAACGAACCCTCCTTTGCAGACCACCGTAGAATGTGTTTCCAATGACAATACAGACAAATAGACCCTGTTCCATATCGCAACCCCCGAAAACAGATATAGCAAGGTACATAGAACTGACAACTAAAACACTAAGCGAGATGCAAATACATGATGAAATTCTTGACATAAACAACATAGAAACAAACGTACAGTTCTACACTTCAGCACTTATTAAAAGCTACGAACTGACGTGTCCTACTATCGTACCGAAAGGCCTGGGTAAAAGTTCCTGGTGGGGGCCAAAACTTGAAAGACTACGTAAGGAACTCAGGACACTTTTCAATCGAGCGAAAAATACCAGAACCATTGAGGACTGGGACAGATATAAAAAAGCACAAAACCACTACAAGAAGCGGATCACATTCCGGAGTAGGGAAGGATGGCGCGGCTTCTGTAGTAGTGTCAATTCAAAAAATGAAGCTGCCAGACTCAAGAAAGTTCTGTTCAAGGACAACTCCAACCTCCTTGGGTCTCTGAAAAGGGAAGACGGCACTTATACAAAAACAGAAGAAGAAGCCAATGCGGTGCTACTGGAAACTTTGAATGGTCGACTGAGCACCACAAAGCACCAACAATCCAAGAATGGGACCTGGCAAAAACAATAGTAACAGCGGAAAAGATAGAATGGGCTCTAAAAAGCTTTCAACCGTTTGAGTCAGCAGGACTAGATGGTATATTCCCGGCGCTACTACAATGGCAACTCAATCAGGCAATTAGATACCTACAACCAATCTTTAGGGCCTGCCTGGCCTTCAAGTACATACCAAAACCATGGAGGGAGGCAAAAGTAGTCTTCTTACCGAAACCAGGCAAGGACGACTATACACAAGCCAAATCCTTCAGACCAATAAGCCTAACCTCTTTTCTCTTGAAAACATTGGACAGACTGGTAGACCTACACCTTAGGGATGGAGTACTAAGTAAGGCTCCGCTGCACCCTCAACAACATGCCTATAGAAAAGGCAGATCAACAGAGTCGGCACTGCATTCAGTAGTCCACAAAATAAAGTCGGCAATCACAAATAAAACCTCGACACTGGCAGCCTTCATAGACATAGAAGGTGCTTTTGACAAAACGATGCACAACAGCATTAACCACGCCCTAAGAAAACTCAAGGTGGACCAAGTCACCAGAGGTTGGATCACCGAACTGGTCGGCAAAAGGGCGGTTCAGATAGTGGGGAACGCTACCACGCGTGCGAAGGTAGTTAGAGGATGTCCCCAAGGGGGAGTCCTATCACCACTTCTCTGGAACATAGTAGTGGACAGCCTCCTACGGAGTCTGAATGACAGAGGATACACTACTATTGGTTATGCGGACGACGTAACAATTCTGATAAATGGGAACGCTGAAAATGTCCTTTGCAAGGTTATGCGTTCAGCCCTTCAGATTGTGGAAAAATGGTGTGACGAACATCACTTGTCAGTAAACCCGAACAAGACAAAGCTAGTCCTTTTCACCAACAAAAGGAAGCTACCTGAACTACCAAAACTATTTAATACCAAACTCTCCCTATCAACACAAGTGAAATATCTGGGTGTTATCCTGGATAACAAACTGAATTGGGCGAGTCATATTGATTTAAAAACAAAGAAGGCCTGCATAGCTTTTAATCAGTGTAGAAGAGTAGTTGGTAAAAAGTGGGGTCTAAGTTCAAAGATCACCCTTTGATTATACACAGCAGTCATCAGGCCCTCTATAACCTATGGTTCAGTTGTTTGGTGGCCCAGGACCCAACTGACCACAGTGAAATCCAAACTCCAAAGTCTACAACGCTTGGCGAGCGTAGCAGCAACTGGATGCATGAGAAAAACTCCATCGGCTGCATTAGAGTACCTCATAAATTTAAGACCTTTGAACCTGGTCATACAGATGAGGCGAAAGCAGCAGCCTTGAGACCAAAATCTCTAGGATTATGGAGATTGAATTCTGTAACAACACACTCTAATATTCTACAAAAGTGCACGAAGGAGATCCCACTCCTGGAGGCACCTATGGATAGAATATTGAGTCAACACGTCTTTGATCGAAAATACAACATCCAACTTACCGCGGAAAAGGCAGATTACTCTGGCGCCGGGGAAGTTAGGATATACACGGATGGGTCCAAAACCAACAGTGGTACTGGCGCCGGTGTTTTCTCAAACGACCTGAATATGAAAATATCTACAAACTTAGGCAAACAAAGCACAATCTTCCAGGCAGAATGTATTGGCCAATGCCAATACATTCTGCTGCAACCGCCTGTTCTGCTCTGGCAATCCAGAGCAGCACAGGCGGTTGCAGCCAGAGATATCAGAGAGTATAACATCAAGATCATCTCTGACAGTGCATCCGTGCTTCAAGCCCTACGTAGCAACACAATAAACTCTGTCCTAGTAATGGAGTGCCACAAGGCACTTCAATCCATTGCGGTTAGCAACACGGTAACTCTGCAATGGATAAAAGGACACAGCAGCTCAATTGGAAATGACGCAGCAGACGAACTGGCTAAGAGGGGAGCAGACACAAAAGTGTATGGTCCGGAACCTTTGCTGCCCATACCTCAGGCCCAAATTAAAACGTGGCTGCGTGAAATAACTTAGAAATTACACTTGACGGACTGGAAAACAGGTGAAGGATGCCGGCAAACGAAAAACACGGTTTCGGCGGCAAATAAAAGTTTTGCCCGCACCCTTACCAGACTAAATAGGGACAAACTTCGCAGGATTATAGGATCCCTGACTGGTCATTGTCCCCTAAACAAACACCTATATACAATAGGAGTAACGGACAGCCCCCTATGCAGAGGATGCATGGAGGCAGAGGAAACGCCACAGCATGTCATCATGGAATGCAGGAGTGTGGCCGACCAACGGGAACGACTTCTCCAGTAACCAGAATCGTTTCCGGAAGCTTGCAGCAGTCTACCAAGGTTGCTTTCCTTCTGGATCGATATAGGCTGGCTGCAGTAAACGGGAATGATTTTGAGACACGCACAATGGTCCAATAATTAGGACTAAGTGCGGAAACCGCCCTGAAGAACTAACTAACTAAGAGTGATTGTGAACAAAACACAGCTAGTCTAAGCTTATTCTTCGTATATTAATAAGGGGGTATGTGCACATCTATATTAAGGCATGATGTCTTAAAAAGAAACGCTTATTCAAACAGTATGTTGTTCCAAAATGTATCGAAATGTAGGATTTGGAATATACGGCGAAAGGCCGCGATTCGACAAAAGTGTGGATCTCGAAAACCACGCTACTATATCCCAAACAGGGGTATGCCATTATAGAATACTGAAACCAGGTCATATATATCTTTTCAGATAGCCAAGCAGTGCTCAACGCCATTAACTACTCGGAATTGGTGAAATAATGCGTTCATAAACTGAATAACCCCGTGTCCAAAAGAAAGAAGTTATTCTTTAATGGGCCCCCGGTCATTTAAGGATAAATAATAATAATCAATGAGAATGCTGATGAACTTG